CAGCGGTAGAGCTCATAATACTCAGGTTTCATGGCGAACACGTTAGCCATTCAGAAACCGGGTTGGAGTTCAATGGTTCACATTTTCCTGCTTCTGTCGATTCGCGGTATAGCGCGACTATCCATCAAGGTCTTCATTCGGTATGCACTTCACCTCTGACTGCTTGGCCCACTGATCATGACTTCTCATCATATCCTCGGGATATCCATCTCGAAGCATGTCACTAATGATAGCTATACAGTAATATAGTTTGAGGTTTATGAGGATTTTACTTAGAGGTAGTATTCTTTGCGGAATGATGATCCCTGCTGGAATTGTGAGTGTATACTTTTGAGGAATCCTAAGCTAGGACAAAGCAGCTTTAAGGTTATGATTAATTCTTCAAATGATCTTAGTCTTTGACGATAAATACCTCAAAATAAAATTCCCACAAACTTCAGAGTACATTGCATAAAATATAATCAGGGACTCATTTGGCCTTAAGTTCAAAACGTTGACACTCAAAACTGCTAATATAATCGCAGTCACCGACGACAATAATTCATGTTATGCTAATACTGCAGCTTGAAACATACTAAAACAAACTGGAGAAAGCAAGATTGACTTAATTCATAAATTTCTATGGAACTTAGCTAGCTACTGTTAGTTGGTTGATGGCAGTCAGAAGGAAGCCGTGCTTCACCAAGGTTTCGTGCTAGGCGGTACTCGTCAGCATAGTATATCAGCAACCTCGAGGGAACTGATGTCATGGCTGAGACTTAGACCCGTATCACCCAGTGTTGCAGCCATCGACGTTACCAGTGAGCTATTTGAGCTACAATTAACCTCCTGTGGGACGGACTTTATTAAATACATCAGTTGGTCTCTGGAGAGTAACCAATTTCATATTGTCTATTACTCAATGTCAGCTGAATTCCAGTGAACACTTCGAAATATTGTCTCCAAGCTAAGAGACTCAATACCATGAGGCATTTAGACCGAAGTTAGGTGGTTGGAGGTAATCGGTAAAAGGCCTTTGAACCAAGATGGGACGAGTTCAAATCTCTGGCCAGATATCACTGTCCCCGAGGTCACACATATGCCCTGCTGACGAGTTCCAACAATCACGAAACCTAAAAGCAAGTTTTCCTTTCAATTGTCTTCAACCATCTAACATCAAGTTTGAATAATATTATACAATCTGTTCAGTGAGAAGGAATATAAATAAAATTATAAAAACTCTAAGCCTAACAAGTTAATGGTAACGATAACTGGTCAAAACCAAAATACATTAAATAAAGTCATCATCTTTTGTACACAGAAGCTTGAACTGTAGAATCAGACTGCACATACTTCTTCGGTTGCCAGCAGCTGTTCCTTCCTTTGCATAAATGATGTCTATATCACTTTGGTGGTCTAAGAGAAGTGTCTCTAAAAAGCATCCTGGAGTCTGTACTTTAGAGTTGCTTAACCATTTCGAATAAGTTTGGAACGTGGTTTTCGTCACTGAATGATATCATTTGGAGAACTACTGAAAATCGGAAAGGACTGGATAGCTGCTCCATCCTAGTTTAGGAATTCTAAGCAGAACACACCTACTGCCGTGTAAGGGATGGATCTAAGTGCCACCAGTAACCAATGGACTGGTTCCAACCTTCACATTTTCTTGCTTTACCAATTCACGACAAATGAATCAGGGATCTATGACACCAGTCGGTAGTCAATTCTCCGTATGACTCATGTATTCGTTTCCAAAGAAATGTTCGAAAAAGAAATATCGAAGTCTGCTACCCTGTCGTTTTACCGGTTCTCGTAAAATCTTCACTCTATATCTTCATAGCCAAGATATCAATCTCAGTTTATTAGATTCAGAAATAACTTTAAAAGAAGGATTTCTACCACACCAGATCCTTCAACATTAATTAGAAATGGTGTAGCTAAATCAGATAATAATCTCTCTATCATCAACAGTCACAAAATTAGAGAACAATATTCTCCTAGACACAATTCAACCAAAAATCTGGCTAAGATACGATGATGAAGCATTCTTGGTATCAAATGATACCACAACAATGATACACAACATAAAATCTTCAGTTAACTGATCACTAGGTCGCACAAGTCACTTCTAGAAAATCGATCCCAAATAGGTGATTAACTTTTCTTATATTCCCTAGGTAAACAAGAGAAAAATGAACATCTACATATGATTATATTCAAGCAAGAGAAGTTTTTGAAAAAGCACTTGACATTTCCACCATTATACTACTGAAAACATGAGAAAACGAAATAAACGTAGTAAAACCATAAAATAAAGAACTATGTGGTAAACATTTTCCATGGCTTGAAAATAATAAACACGATCCAAAATGTGGTCACACTCGTGAATATTCTCAGTAGATATTCCATAAAAATACTGCATGTTGGACGAAATTAAAAAAGTCCTCAACAAATGTAGCATACGAGTGTTCACTAGGACCGCAACAGAATAAATATCACCCTAGTTCATATAGAAAATAATAGTCTAAACAATCGAAAATCCAATTTTTCATACCGCAAAATGCCCAGACTGAAATTTAGCCACATAATAAGAAATTTCTTAAGAAATCAATACGAATATCGGAAACCTTCGTCCTGCCCTCTTCTCCCCCTCACGGCAGCTCTACTAGTATCCAGTATTTTGCCATCTAACCTAAATGTGGCACTCTAGATTGAAAATATTACCATCATCAAGAAATTAATTAAAATTGCGCTCAAAACTACTGATTTCAGACACTGTTTCAATGGAATAATAACCAATAACATCAGTCAGGCTACATAAAGCTTATATGAAAACATGCCGTATACCGGCAGTGATAGAAAAACTTAATGTAGTTTCAAACCTCCTTCATAAATAGGTGTAACTAATATACTCACTACAGGAAATATATATTTTTGTAATTCATATGTATATATCGCACCTGAGAAACTATAATATTCAAGCTCCTCATTCAGTCAATTGACAATAAAGAACTATTCATCAAAAATAATTTTGACTAAGTTATAACATAAAGTCTTTGACATAGGTAAAGTCCAGAACGGTTACATTTTCTAACGAGTATGTTAGGACCTGGCCACTAGGTTGGGACTCAATCTTTCAAATTTTCCTACCTTCATCAAGTCAAAATGTAACGCAATCATCAATCAGTAGTGTTGGTTGGCATTCGTTTTCGCATCTCATTTAACTGAGTCTACAGGTCATAACTTTCCACTTGGATCTCAGGAAATTTCTCCTAAAGTTAGTCACTCATGAGCATGAAATTACGATTCAACTATTAGGTTCATGAGAATTGATTGATTTTAAAGTAAAGTTGGAAAATGTGCACCAACAGCCCATGTTTTAATGGTTAGTTACTCATAGCAATAAATAAAAATCCTAAACCGAATCTCTCACACGACCGAACATGCAGACTACTCCGTACTCTCAAAGAAAGTGGAAACAGCTGTTTGATGCGCTCAGTTTTTCAACAGTTCCCCTTTGAATGTCACCACAAAAAACAGTATGGCTTTATTCTTCATTCATTTGAAAGCATCAACCTCAACGAAATATCATTTTCTGATTACTAAAATTTATTGAAGTTAGTGTAAACTTGTTTTTGACATTTATTAACCTTTTAAGCAATTGCCTAGGTAGTAATTGTAAAAAATCGTAATTTTATTAGTTCCAGTGACTGGTAACAAGCTTAAGCCTTCAACTACCATGGGATATATTGTATCCAGTTACTCCCTTTTCAGTCATTTAGATATGTTTCTACATCGTATTAAGCACTCTCGTGTATTTTTAAGATTTTTCCAACCTATCATACTACAAGTTCATCATGAAATTAAGAAAGAACACCTCAGAGATGGTTAGCATGAACTGCATACTCTCTCTCTCTCTTACCAGCACAGCTGGAAAGAATTTATGTAGACTTTTTCGTTACCAGCCTATGCAACAAGGTGCCCAGAAGCTGAATGAAAAACCCAACAATGAGGAGTTATTACACATTCTTGTTTGTCGTACTATCCCTATTCATATTATTTATAATCTACAGTTACTTTATATTACTGATGAGTAGTGGCTTGCAGGGGAACACAGGACACTCGTTTCATCCTTTTCGAAACTCATCAGCTGGATGCATCTACATCCAAGTGAGTGATGTTGTTCCAACTAAGACTCGAACCGCGGACCAATCACTTCAAACGCTAGAAGGTTGTTCACCGGTTAGTTTGGTCAAATCAGCGAGAAGAAATTACAGGCTATTGTATCTAAAACTAAAATTATTTTAATATCGGGAGAAAATTTGTTGAAGTATTATGTTCTGGAAACTCCATACTTTACCTAATTTATAGTCTGAAAAAAAAGTTATCATTAATAATAATGATGATCAGTATAACAAAGTGGTATAAATAATCAGGGAAATATGCTACTGAGCAACATGAATAGTTGAGAACCACTCAAACTCATCTTTAGATTCCGCCAGTCGGATAGGAGTATTCTAGACACAGGATTACTTTTTCACTGACTTTGGGATGAGCTCATCAAGCTAACTCATACAAATTCAGATGAAGAGCCGAACTTTTCACATCACCTAAATCTCGCTAGCTGACTTACATGGACCAGTATACCTAGAATAGGACGACCAATTTGGGGATCTTATTTGATACCTCTGATCCGGCTAGCGAAATCTACAAATCAGCCTGAATGGTTTCTAGTTACTTGTGTTGTACAGTATTGTCTTTCTATAGTTTATGACACTTTTATGGAAGAGATTACATCTGATTATCTTGGCTGATGAAAACTTTCCAGTCGAAACCCTGTTCAAAAAACAGTTAGAGAGTTGAAAGACTACTCAGCTATGCAAAAGGTCAGCACTGACAGGTTAATTCGTCAATCGTTACCAATTTGATCATCCTACTTTAGTATAAATAATTATTTATTATTTAACGATGAGGCATAGATTAAAATAAGACATCAAACACTTCTCTCTTCAACAACTCACCTTGGAAATAGTATCTATACAAAATATGGTATGAATACAGCATACTGTAAATGTTAGAATGCAACTCAAAAATTTTATGGTTGACATTTTCTGTACATGAAGAATGTTAAATTTGCATTGGTTAATTCAGTGAAACAGTTTCCCAGTTAAATGAATTTATGAATCATTCCTATTTACACAAAATCTATCGACTTTTTTTCTTTTTCTTGTGCTACCATAAATGTTTCGTCCATAATTAATAAGAACTCATCAGTTGTAACGAGAATGTGAATAGTATTGACAGTGTTATCTCATGTAGCTTTTGATCAGCTGTATATTCGTATCATACTGTATTAAGATAATGATAATATTTAACACTATGGGATATAATTCGGAAATATTTTAACAATCATAATTAAACTTTGTTTAACTTGATAAACTGATAAATTGTCAATTATTTCCAACGGTGATGTTAAACAATCTCATCTCAATCATCATCACGAGTGATAGAGATTAGACAAAACTAAGTTTCACTGTTTTCTGTTTTTATTTATCTGTTTATGCGAATCAGTTGCAAAACATTGGTATATCACTGAAATATGTATTCATCTTTTCATAAAAGTCGGTGTATATAAATAGTTGTGTGTGTGAGTGTGTGTGTGTGGGTACGTGCGTGCCTGTATGTAAGACGACGACAGTATATCAATAAGTATACGAATAACACCAGTGACTTCTTCATAAATGTATTAACGAATATATATATATATATATATATATATATATATATATATATATATATAAACGAATTATCATATGAACACGGATGCACAAATACAAATGTATTATATTCCCCTCATTTTTATATTCACCAATCAAAATGAAGGTTTTTGATTCCACTTACTGTCCGAATACAAAATATGAACATTATTTAAATGATAGAAAAAGTTGTTGTTTATATTTATTTGATTAGATATATCTTATGATGAAATGATAAGACTGAAATATTTAAGGATAAATAATTATCAGTCGAATTCATTATTCTGTTGTCTTCACTACCCTGTAACAATGGAATAATTATAAATTATAAACAAACATTAGGTTTACACTGAGGTTCATTGATCCATCTAGTCATAACATAAGTTTGAATCCACTTCACTTATCAGTTTCGGTGTGGACAATTACTGAATATCAAGATATGTTGTTACTTTTCGTGATAAATTTAGAATAGGTTACTAATATTATTTATTGACCCTTGTAATTTGCCTCGATACCGCCTGGCGTTAAAAGCGTAGTGTGCCAAGTTCTATTCCCGGCAGAAATACCATCACTCACTGGGATGTAGAAGCATCCAGCTGATGGTTCGGAAATGGGTAGAAAGGTGTATCCCGGTTTCCAATGCTAGCCACCATTAAGTAAATTAAGAAATAAGCCAATAACGTATTTATTATTTATGTTCAACATTGACGCAGTATAACTGACATGTATGAATGTATGAACTCATACTACTGGTCTATTGTACATTCATGAGTGATGTCACAAGTGATACACATGTGATCATGAAGGTGCTAAAATAATATTCTCCTGCAAACTGTTGATAGTTGGGTGTGGATTCAAAACACTGAATGAAGTTTCTGGCTACAGAGATGCAAACTTCAGTAATACAATGATGAAAAAGAAGAAATAAGCTGCGATATCAAATCTGTAATAAAGATGACTAAAATCGAAAGGTGTCACTGACCACTACAGGATGATAACTTCATGCCATCAGATCACTTATCAATGACTCTAATAACTGAGCTACGGCACCTAATACATTGTTTCTTCTTATAGTATGCAGTATTCAAATAATAACTGTCATTTAACGAGACCCTATATAAGACTATGTTGTGCATACAAAAGTGTTTAATCATATCGAAAAGACTGCAAATGTGCTTAATATGTAACCCGCTTTAACCGGAATAGTAGTAATTTCCAGTTATTTTCACCAGCGGGAAATATCTGTCTACAATTCACTTCGAGTACTTTATAACTCCCTCAATTCATTGTTATTCATAATTACCACATATAATCTGAAGATACTTGAAATTATTTACTAATGTGTTGAAGGAGTCAATGTCATATTTCCTCAAGAAAACGTTCTCAGAGCAAAAGACCTGAAGAAATACTGTTATTCATGTGAACTGGATGTACTTTCCAGTTAGTGTTGATATATATATATATATATATATATATATATATATATATATATATATACTATATATATGAAACCTTGCCTAGGTAACTAGTTCACTAGTTACCAGCTGGTCCTAAGCCCATATAAAGAGGGAAGCTTGGACATAGGGCTAGCAGCCAATCCAATCGCCAAAGAAACTTCAAAGCACAAAGAAAATATCGAAAATAAAGACAAACTTATTCCTCACTGCAATAAGAAAGACGAAATGGCGCCAGTCGGTGAAAGACTTCGGGAAGCCAGTCGGCCAATGTGTTTTCTCTCGATGAAAACGAAAGTAAGGATGGGGACATGGAATGTCCGCACTACGTTTGCACCTAGCAAGGCTGGCCAGATTGCAAAAGGAATGGGGAGGTATAGTATTGAAGTGCCAGGAATCTGCGAAAGTAGATGGAATGGAAGTGAACTCTCTCAAGTGTCAACTGCAGAGTCAATAATCTACTCCGATATTGTCACCCAGACGACAACCACGAACACACTGGATTTTGGAGTGGCTATCTTGCTGTTCCCAAGAACATCGGAAACTCTCGTACAGTGGGAACCAGTTTCCTCCAGCATCAGGATCGAGACAGCAAGATTCAAATCAGAAGGAAGGAAAGTCACAATCATACAGTGCTACGCTATGTTACGCACCTACAAATAATGCAGATGAAGAGAAGAAGGAGGAATTTTACAGACAACTGCAATCAGTACCAGACAAGACTTCAGGTGGTGACATCGAAATTCTAATGGGTGGGGTGACATGAATCCTAAACTGAGAGCGGACAACACAGGAAAAGAACCAAACGTGGCAATCAGTGAAATGAATGAGAATGGAGAGCTGTTTGCAGATTTCTGTGCATCCACTGATTTCGTGATTGGGGGCAGTGTGTACAAACACAAGAATATTCACAAAGTAACATGCATTTGGTTTCACCAGATGGGCACACTAAAAATCAGATTGACTTCCTCTGAATCTAAAGACAGTAGAGACGCAGCGTACTGGATACAAGATCAAGAAGGGCAGTAGATGTGAGTTCAGACCATTCACTACCTAGTGCAAGGAATCTACCTTCAAAATCAAGTTGAAAGCCTTCATAGGAGTTGGTGATAGACCACAGTTCAAGTTCAACACCCAGAACAGAAAGTGAACTGAATGACAAAACTACAAAGAACATCTTCACGTCAGCCATCACAACAAAATGGAAGCTATTGAGCAACATTCATGAAGAAACCTGCGTGGATGAACACTGGAACTCTTTAAAAGCTATATGGAAAGAAACCTGCATAACCGTATTAGGAACGGAGAAGAAAGAAGACAAGCAATGGATCTCGACGGACAAATGGAAACCGATAGAGCAAGGAAAGGAAGATGATGAAGCAGAATATAAACCAGTGCAGTGCAAGGATGAACAACGAGAAGAGGAACTGAACATAATCTATAAAACACTACACTGGACAAAGAAGTGAAGAGGAGTGTGCGCAAAGACAAAAACACTTCTACGACACATTGGCAAGTGAACTAGAACAGGCTGCAGGTAGGAGAGACAGAGACCTGACAACGCTATATCAAATAACCATGCTACTATTTGAGAGGGGAGAGATCAACGCAGATGGAACAAATGGGAGATACTGAAGGAAACTTAGTTACCACCAAAGAGAGGAAATAAAGGAAACTATGGGTTGACCGCTTTGAAAACTCTGGAATCTACCACCACCTACAACTCGTCCAGATATACCGCCAGCAGCACAACCACAGAACTATCAGTGAACACAGACCCTCCAACAAAATCAGAAATGATGTTCTGAAAGCCATAAAGTTGCTGAAATCCGGGAAAGCGGCATAACCAGATTGAATTACCCCAGAAGCACTGGAAACAGACACAGAAACAACAGTGAACGAGCTCATACCACTACTGCAGAGGGTTGGGAAGGGAGGAAAGGTAAGGCACCTACCGGTTGATTGGATGAAGGGCTACCTGGTCAAACTTCCAAAGAAGGGTGACCTAAGACTTTGAGAGAACTAGCGTAGAATCATGCTTCATTCCTGTACACTCCGAGCAAAATATTATGCAGCATCATCCTGGAGAGACTCAAAATGCTCTGCATTTGAAAATACGAACGGACTGACTGGTTTCAAGAAGCACAAATCATGTTTGGATCAAATTGCAACGTTATTCTGTGCATCATGATAGAAGAGAGCATAGAATGACAGTCAACTCTCTACCTTACCTCAGTTTCATCGATTTTAAAAAAGCCTGTGACAGCGTCGACTGAGAAGTAATTTGGCAGCTACTGCCCAGCACTGCAGTTTGAGTTCCACAAACCTATATCAACCTCATTCAACAGCATCTATATGCTGTATAATGAGGCTACATGCCAAGTGATCCGCAATCGAGAGCTCAGTGACATCTCTGAAGTGAGGACAGGAGGAAGACAAGGTTGCCACCTACTACCACGCATGACCTTCCTGATTGTTGTCGACTGGATTATGCAGCGAACCGTGAGGAGCTGTTTGACTGATGAAAAGACCCCAGAAGAAGTTTTAGGTTTCGCTAATGATGATTTATGTCTAATGTCTTGTCGCACAAATTCAAAAATCTACAAACGAAAACCAACGAGCAGAAGAGACAGACCAGCGAAAACGGGACTTCAAATGAGCGTAGAGAAGATGGAGGTGATGAAGATACCTAACCAACAACAATTAACACCAATCACCATCAACGAGAGAAATCTAAAGGCATCTACCTAGGCAGCCTTGTTTTAACTAAAGGCGGCACAGGCACGGATGAGGACTTCAAAGTTAACAGGCCCTCATCAATCTGAAGCTAGTGTGGAGATCTGCTGCACTGCACTCATCATAAAGCGTCAACAAGATCCGGATTTTCAGCGTCAACGTCAAGTCAGTGCTTCTATGTGATAGTTGAGAGACTTGGCGCGTTACCAAAAGCAATTCCAACGAACTGCAAACATGCATGAACAGCTGCCGCCTACGCCCACTCGATACTGAAGATCAGATAACCAGAAAGAATAAACAACAAGGAACTGTGGCTGGCAACGAGCCCACCAAGA